CCTCGCATGTACTATCTTTGGTGAGTTTAAAAAAAAAAAAAAAAAAAAAAAAAAAAAAAGGAAAAGGAAAAAAGGCAAAAAAAAAGAGAAGAAACCACAAGCCCTGCTGTCTGTCCCCAAGCCCTGCCACCAGGAAAGCTAGTCTAGGTGTGAGATGTCACACTGTCTTTGTAGCCATCTAAAAATAATAATTATGAACTGGACAGTTACAATCTGGTTTCTTTGAAAAAACTTTTTTGGGCAAAGAAACAAAAGGAAGCTACCCTTCTCCTCTTGGGGATTTTAGTTTGTGGGACAGGCAAGGGTGGACAGGAACCTGCTTTGTTTTGGCTTGGCTGGTGAAGACAGCACACCTGGACCCCTGGACCCAGCCCCTCATTTGGCCAGCCGGGACCAGGCCCCCGACCCCTCCAGGACTCCTGCGCGGCTGCCGCCACTGTGACCGGCGCATGCACTGTGTCCCCAGGACTCTCCCTCTTCCTGGACCTCCCTCCTGGCCACCCACATCTGCAGGCCCTCAGCTCCACCCTGTCTTCCCAGCGAGAATCCTGCCGGCAGGGTGGTGGCCCGGAGCCGAGTAGTAGAGGCCACCACTGACAGGATGGCTATGACCTGGGACGTGGAACCCGGACCTCTGCATTCTAGGCCTGTGATCTTGCATCTTCGCTGTGTGCATGGGCAGGGTGGGCTAGAATTTGGGTTTGTTTTTTTTGTTTTGTTTTGTTTTTCTTTTTTTTTTTCCCCCCCCCCCTTTTATTCGTCCTTTTTCAAGGATAGGCTGTTGACCAGAATTGCTCTGTAAATGCGTGGAACTGGATGGGAGACTTTGGCATAGCTGTGGGGGGTGGGGGGGAGCTCAAAAAAACCAAACAGATGTGATGTTTCCGGTCCTGTTTTTATTTTCAAAAACCGATGAACCCGACAGTGGAGCCTGTCCCCTCCTAGGAGGGGTGACTCATGACACCTCACCCCCACGGAAACCTTTGTGTCTTGCCCTGGAAGACACCGAATTCTTTGTACATTTACACTCCCCTCCCCTCTTCCCTCCCCTCCTCTGTAGCTGGTCTTTGTTTTATTACCGCCCCTTTCTGATCCATGTATATCATATTATGTGAGATACCATCTGCCTGAAAAAAGACCTTGTGCCGATTATTGGGAACATTGTAGCTGTTTCTGTGTTTTTTCTTACCTTGTAGTCTGGTTCTGAATTATGAGAGGAAAAAAAAAAGTAATTATGATACATTGTAGTTTGTGTACGATATATGTTGATAACGTTTTATTAAAGGGACATCTTTTTTCCGCAGCCCTTCCTGACATGCTTGGGGAACGTGGGTTGGAGTTTATTATACTGGTCACAGAATGCAAGGTGACTCTTTGGACATCAAGTGTTTGTTCCTGGCATGAACAAGATTCTGCTTTTTGTTTCCAGCTTCTGTCTTCCCTGAGCAAGCTTGGTTTGCATTTTTATGGAGACTCACAGGCCTTTGGGGAAGGTGTGCTGGGAGAGGGGACATGGGTCTCACTTCAAATAGTCAGGGGTCTGCTAAGAACCAGCTTCCATTTCTCAAGTCTTGTAAAGTTTACCGTTGTGTCTCCTGCTCCCCATGCTAGGGCCTGAACCCAGGGCCTTGGTGTTGAGCTACGTTCCCATACCATCCCCTTAATTTTTTAAGACAGCATCTAGAGTTGTTCAGACAGGGCTTGAACTTGAAATCTCCCTACCTCAGCCTCCCAGAATGCAGAGATTACAGATATGCGCCCGTGCCCAGCTCTGTTTCTGGAAGTAGGGAAAGGTGCCCATGCCATGTTTTCTGTGGGAGCTAAGGGGGTCAGGATGGCCCTGTGGTGCTGACTACCCTACCTTCTCCCTCAGGCAGCAGCACTGTTTCACAAAGACCGCTGGCCTGGGGGACCTGGTTATGGGGTTGTTGGGAGGGACTTCGGATACTGGCACTGAGAGGCAGAGTTTTTCTTTACTATCACGGCAGTGGAGAGCCCTTGACAATTTTCAGAGCAGACTAACCTGAATTTTAGAGAACTTATTAGGTGGAGCCATTCGCGGCTGTCATACAGGCAAGATACACTGAGGGCTGGGGCAAGGCAGCCAGGGCCAGAGGAACACTTCACAATGTTTAGAAAGTGGCACGGAAGCTCTGGCGACCTCATTCTGGGCCTGAGGGAGTAGAAGGCAGTACCCTGCAAGGTGTGGACTTGGTCCACGTTCCCCGGGCTGCAGAGTGCCCGGCCCAGATCTTTGCCACTCACTACTTGCTGGGTGGTCTTGGCAGGTTAGTTTTTGCCTCTGCCTCTTGAAATGGGAAAGCATATCATGGCTTACCTGCCTCATGGAATTGGGAATGGCAGACACTGAAAGCAGGGATTTGTGGGTGGTGCTCATTTGCTACGTGTGGGTGGGACAGGATCTGAAAGACTCCATCGGGTAATGGCCTCACCTGAGGGGGTTTCCTCACGCTCTTCATGGTAGACACCTTTGAGCTATTGGGCTATAGGGGAGATCTGTATGGTCCTGCTGCACACACTTAGGAACTGGGGAGGGTGGGACCTGGATTCACACCCTGTGCCCTGTGTCCTTGCAGCAAGAGTTGGGCCCACAGGAGCTGGGCCATGGGGTGCTGGTAGAGAATGAGGGGCCCCCTAGAAGCAGCCCCACCTGCCAGGTCCTCCACTGGCCCCCAGGTCCCTTCACACAGCCCCGGTGAGGGCTGTTCAGGGTTGGCAAGACGGGTTTCCCCAGGTGTCCTCATGCCCAGCCGGGCCTGAGATGCAGGGCAGCCTGGGCTCTGCACTGAGTCTGCAAGAGCACCTTGGAGGAGGGAGTCCTACTCCGCCTTCCTCAGGGGCTTCAGCTACAAGGATGGAGTGGTAGAGCCGGCTCATAGCTCCTGCGGCAACACCCAGCAAAGCCGCTGCTTCTCTGTTAGTCCTCCCTGTTCACAAGGGCCCCAGCTCCAGGGTGGTGGCCAGCCTGGGCCCCAACAGGAAGGGCCCCTCCTGCCGGGAAAGGAGAGGCCAAGGCAGATGGGCTACCACTGAGGCTGTGGCCACTCAGCCTGCCTCTCTGGGTGACCTTGAGAAACCCCACACCAGCCTCCATGGTGACTTTGAGGGCATTGCTCCAAGATTCCAGACTGTAGAAGGCAGGGCCCAGGGTGTCTTGGGGCAGAGGCTTGGTCTTAGATACAGGGACTGGGTAGGGAGAAGGAGCTGAACAGTGCAGATGCAGCTGGCTCAACCCCTTTCAGCTCCTCCCTGGAGCAGCATCGTACAGCTCTTACTGCAAGGGGCTAGAGGCAGCTGGCCCTGCTCTGCCAGGCCTGGGCTGACTGGACCCATACAATGGGGTTCACAACGGGCTGGGAAATGAACCATGTGGGGGCTGGGGTGCTGAAAAGTAAAGATCTATTTTCTATCACGGGCCTTTCCTGCCCCAACTATGCACAACCCTGGGGTTCTACCCACCAGGGGCTTTGCCCTCGCCAAGCCCCACATGCTTGCCCTGTGGAACCCAGCTCAAAAGCCTCGTAGGCTGGGGCACCTCCCTGAGTTCTCAGTGAAGTGTCTGCCTCCTCTAAGGCAGGGGCTGTGTCTGAGCTGCCTTTGTCCCCAGAATCACGAAGCCCAGGGCCTGGCTCTTGTAGGTGCTCCGAGCGGGCCCTCAGAGTAATGAGTAGTCACCCTGAGACATGTTCAAGTACAACCCTCACTGTGGGCCAGCATGCTCCCGGGGAGGGACCATAGCTCCTCGTTCTGTCTGGATCCCAGTGCACACAGAAGCAGGTACAGTTATTTCTAAAATGGCCAAGAGCAGCTGCTCTGCCCCTCGAGGTCTGCAGCGGCCCTGACCTGTTCTCAGGCACCAAGGTGGCCTAGCTGGGAGGAGACCCATGGGTGACCCAGGCGGAATGCCCAGAGCATGGAGGAACTGGCTGTGCTAGAAGTGCCTCCGAACAGAATCACTTGGACCTCACACCTACCAGGCCGTGAGACTTTTCTGACTTGAGATGGCACATGCGCCGTCACCATGAAGCTGTGTGAAGATAAACAATGCCAAGGTGCCCGGCACGGCCACACAGCATCTGGCCAGGACCCGACGATGCTGGAACAAATGGGTAGTGTTCAGCTCATCAATCAGGAAAAGAGTGAGATGTACCCTGGATATTTTGCTCAGATCCCCACAGGCACCGTGGGACAATGCACAATGCATGCAATCCCATAAGAGTTCCACATCGTGAGGTGGACACAGTCTTAAAAACATGGGAGGACAATCAGCCCTAGTTTCAGGTGAAGAAACTGAAACTCAGACTGAGCTCACCCAGGTCATGATGTGGGTTAGGGCAGGCCCGACGGTAGGCTGAGGCAGGACAGATGCCACAGCCTGCAGCCGTGTGGGGGCAATGTGGCACCATACCTTACATCAACACAGACTCCAGTGCAGCCAAGGGATCTTTATTGCAAGGGAAAGCACCAGGCCAAGAGGGTGCAGAAGCCCTAGGTACTGCCTAGGACGCAGGCTCCTCAGAGGGAGAAGCGTCAGGGCTCAGAATGTCCTCACTCATGCAGCGCCATGCAGATACAGGGCTAAGAACTTCCTGAAGGTCTCTGGCTGGAAATCTACCGGCCCAACTGGCTCCTGGAAAGAACGAAGCTCATTAGGACCCCATATTAGGTGTAATGGTAACAATTAAATCAGTTGGTGGTGTGTCAATCTGCAGTGCCTGGATAATCACTTCCTTCTCATACACTGCCTCTCGACCACTGAGAAGGGTCCTGAGCAGCTGGCACCGAGGAGACCCTGAGGGACGGCAGCCAGGAGGCCAGGAAGCACTCCTGCAGCCACCTGCTGGCACAGCCCCAGCTCCCTAAGTCCCCTCACTTCACC